CTCATTTTGTCACTCATAGTTGAGGCGTACCTATGATGTAAATTACAGGCCTCTCTCATCTTTTTAAGTGGGAGAACTTGCACAATTGGTGGCTGACTAAATACTTTTTTGCCCCACTGTATGTGCGATTATGTCATCACCCCCAAAACTGCAATTTTATGCTTATGTCACAATACCTAATGCAAATACATAAGTCACTGAATTTATTTCACATCATCACACATGTGAAAACATTTTGCAGATCATAGTGTAAGGTAATGCATTCATGTTTTTTTCTTTTTTTTCATTTTGGGGAAGTTTGCAGGGAGATGGTTTAAGGGCAAAATGCTTAATGTATAATAGAACATATTAGAACTATCCCCTAATCAGTTCCATTTTCCTATTTTGAAAAGTTGATCCTTTGCCGCTTAAAATCTAGCACCAGGAACAGGAAAAAGATGGATCCAAAAAGTTAACCCTGCCCACTCAGGTGATGTTATAATCCTGATATCTCCAGAAAGGCATAAAAGGAAAACTGATTGGGTTAAGCATTTTCTACACCTAATTTAGCTGACTTTCCTCATTATAGGATAAATTTTATAGAGGGAGTTGGAATATTGTTTTTTCTCTTGCTTCACCTGTTACTTTAGTTGAGCGTTAAGATATGTTATACTGTATATCAAAAGTACTTATTTTTAATATCCTGTGCATCTATTTAAAGCATTTATATGACCACCTGATTATTTAAAATGTATCTTTAAATCTTCCTTTACTAAAAAAAAAAAGTATTAATATGTCAAATATAACAATTTGCATTCTCTAGAATTTGGGGGAGCAACAGTCAGCAAAAATTATGATTTAAATGATCTTCCTGGGCCACCATCCAAACCTCAGGTCACTGATGTCACTAAGAACAGTGTCACCTTGTCTTGGCAGCCAGGCACACCTGGGAACTTACCAACAAGTGCATATATCATTGAGGCTTTTAGGTATGTATTACTGTTATGATCCTCTGCACTTTTGAACTAAACTCATTCTAAAGTTTTAGTTAATTTCAGAAATTAAAGACATGGGTGCTTTTTAAAGTTTTTTTTTTTTTAACTCAGTTTAAAGGTAATTAAATTGTATTTTGTTTTCCACAGTTTTCAAATGTTTTGAACACTTGATTTATAACTTATTTTTATATTAATGTATCAGGCTTTCTGTTAAAACTTCTTTCACCAACATGCTGTTGAGGAATGAAAGAGAAATTGGTAGCTCAATGTAAGCAATTTTCAGTATTCTTTGTCAATATCAATCAGATCCAATGTTGGAACTGAACAGAGGGGTTGTACCTCAACAATCACTTATCCTTTTTTGGATTCTTTTAAATTTGTTGATGATGTGGACTGAATATGTAGAGGGCTATCTTCTTTTTACTCAACCATGTTGTGTTAGCTGATGAAATCTAAGATGGGTCTTGCCTATGGTTAAAGAACCTGAAGGACTAGGTTAGGGACAGATCATCATGGAGAAATCTGTCTATGTGGTCTCTAAGAGTTGACAATGATATAATTGTTAAAGAAGGAGATCAGTGCTCCCTGGTGGATAGGATGTATTCTGCCCTGCCTTAAAAAGCCAATGATCAGTTCTACTGAAGAAATTTCCCTTGACCCAGAAGATCTATGCATTTATAGATCATTCTCAAATATTCCATTTCAGGGAAAAAGCATCAAGAAAATAGTAGCCTGACTATTCCAGATAAATTAGAATTATTCTAATTATCCAAGTTCATTTCAACTGGGCTTTTGGCTGGGTTACTGTGTTAGTTAAGTGGAGAGCCTGAGTTTCTCAAGGCAGAGATGTCAGTTATGACATCAATAATCTCTCAGCTTCAGTGACAAGAAGTGCAGGTCAAAAAGTTCATTAAACCATGGGAATGAAGGGGAGAGGAAACATGGAATTAAATTACCATGACTATGATGACAGAGGACAATCAACTTTTTTTAGTGGCCACTTCCCAATATGAGATAAAGATTCTTATCTAGCTGTTCTGTGTTATTTTTGGAGACTATTAAGTTGAGTATGAACCTAAAACCTAATCAAGCTATGCCAATATAGGTTTCTGGGAAACTTTGCTGAGGCCTTGCCAGAAAGTTAGAGTTATGGTAATCAGACTGATAGAGTGGCTTTGGTGAATGAATTATACAGAAATATAATGAAGGCAATATGGGCCTGCTAGTTCTCCCAAGCCTTAACCATGCAGTTTTTCTGGACCATGAAGCAGGGTTGAACCTTGGATGCATTATTACAGTCGTGTCATACTGTCTTCAGAAATTGGTAGTTGGAGCTGCTCTTGATCCACTGACTTATATTGTTCAGAGAGCCAGTTTGGTGTAGTGGTTAAGGCACCAGGCTAGAAATTAGGAGACCATGAGTTCTAGTCCCGTCTTAGGCACAAAGCCAGCTGGGAACTTTGCCAGTCATCTCTCTCAGCCCTAGGAAGGAACCAATGGCAAACCACTTCTGAAATCTTTTGCAAGAAAACTAGTCCAGGGACTAGTCCAGGCAGTTGGCAGGAGTCAATGCTGACTTGACGGCACTCCCCTTCCCATATTGTTCAATGAAGTTATAGCTTGTCCCTACTATTTTGATCTTTGGAGTAATATGCCATCAGGATGCTGATAACATCCAGTTCCATTTCTCCTTGCCATCTAACTTCAACAAAACAATCAGTATCGCTGAGTAATGCAATGATGGCCTGGATGAAAGGAAATATGCTGTTTGTTTTTTTTTTAAGGAAACACTTTTAATCATTAGGAAACTTGAAGTTCAATTTATTCTTTAAATGTCTGCATGCCTTTAAAAGAACTGGTTTACAATCTGAAATTGCTCTTTGAATCTCAATTGTCTGTGAATTATTTGATAGCTTCTGTGAGTACATTTGCAGAATTTTAACTAGTATACCACCTGTAATTTTGGCTTGGCAATAGTTATCTACATCTTGATTACAGGTAGTCCTCATTTAGCAACCATAATAGGTTCCCGCGAAACTGTCACTAAGCGAACCATGTGACTGAGAGAGACACTCCAAAGATTGCTGGTTGCTGCTGTCTCATTCAAATAAAGTTTTCTCGTGCAGCAGTGCCAGCATTACTCTCATTCTGATGTGTGTCATTGTCAGGTGAAGAAATTTGGCCACAAGTATGCACATTGGTCAGAAAATTATTTTTTTATTACCGTTTATTAACTTTGTATTTGCAAATGGTTGCTATCCGAGATAATCACTAAATGAGAACTACCTGTATATCTCATGTTAACTGTTGCAATTCTGTAGTCAATATCTTCCACTGGATTATTGCAACACACTCCATTTAGATTATGTTAGATTATGTTTAAAAGCTTCAGCCTTCATAGCACAATGAAAAAGCTATCATTTTACACCACCTCAATTATACAATAGTTCAGTAAGTAAATACAGGGAACGTAGGTCCAATATCCCTTGCAAAAATGCTTTTGGACATGTGTAATTTGCCATGTAAACTTTAAGCAAAGGGAACAAAAGACAATTTAAATAATAATATTTTTTTTTTCCCCAAAACTGTTCAAAGTGTGTGTTTAAGAAGGTGATGCAAACTACTTTTTGCTTTTTATATTTTTTAGGCAGTTTTTATAATGGACTATCAACATATTAACATTATTGCAATATGTTAGGAGTTTTATGCTTTTGATTGATTTAGCAATTATAACAGTTTCTATTGCTCTTGATAGTGCTCTTGATATTATATCTTTGCTTGTCTTTACCAGTGGATAGAAACATATCCTTCACTATTTTTTTTAAGTATAGTATTCCAATATATTTTCATTTCAGCCAATTGGTGAGCAATAGCTGGCAAACAGTGGCTAACCATGTTAGAACAACTCCTTATACTGTGAGAGGACTCCGTCCAAATACCATCTACCTGTTTATGGTGAGAGCTATCAATTCACAAGGGTTGAGTGATCCCAGCACCATGTCAGATCCTGTCCGAACCCAAGGTAACTTGAATTTATTTCTCAGGCAGCATATTTGAGTTTATTGTAATATGCAATGCATATACAACTGCACACACATTACATGCAAATGTATCTGTGTGTGTGAGAGAGAGTGTATACACACACACACACACAATCTGGAGTCTGTATATAATATTTGTACACAATATTTGATAGGAATTCTCAGAATTGTGAGATAGCATGATAAGTGGGTGATATTTAAGAGTTTAGGATTTTTTAGGAGTAATTTGGTTCTCTGACTCACACAACTTTCAATCCTTATCATGAAATTAGTGTGACAGTTATGCCCACTGAAGAAAACTATATAGTTTTGCTAGATGAGTTTGGAAGGCTAATATTGTTGGGGACAACTAAATCTCCATTGGGAGGCCATTCCAGAAATCTGGGCCCATAACAGAAAAACAATGCTTCTGGGCTTCGACCTCCCCAAAACGGGGGACAACTAGCTGCTTCTCTCAACATGACCGGAATGGTCAGGTTGACTCTAGTAGAGAGATGCAGTCCTACAAGGATGTGGTGTTCATATCAAAACTGATGAGTCCTGTTCCTCTGTTTCTGCAACAAAGTCTTGGACTTTTCCTCTGAGAGAAATTAGTATTTGAGATCTTAGAGGGCTTGGCTTGAGACACCATGATATCACTAAAATAGGATTTTTTTCTAAGGCTGTAGGTAGTTTATGAAGTGAGACTTTATTTGTCTTGTAAATGCACAAAAACAAGAGCAAGAGCAAGAGCAAGAGCACACTGGAGCACCAGAAGGGACTTCTGTGCATGTACAGGGTACATCCAGAAATCTCTTTTGATACCAAAGGTAGCAGCCAGAATATCATGAAGCAAAGCAACAGAACACCTTCACTTTGCTCTTTTTGGAAATGGGAAACTCTGTTGCTTCAGAAAGCAGATTTAAAGCATTGCTTTGCTAAAATCATTGTCAATGTGATGCACCCCTTTGGAACTAATCTAATAAATACATTATTTTTAAAGAAGTGAAATATAAGCCAAAATATCTTAAGGATCAGCCTTAAGATGATCCATATGGCTTGGTGACACAATTAACCTAAGTACAATATCTTACATAAAAACAATACTGATAAATAACACATGTGTCAATATCCTCCTGAAAGGAGTATTGTGTATTTGCAACTCTTAGGAATTTTATGTGTGTCTGACAAGAGTTCAAAAATTTGTGTTCATTCTTAAATGTTTTTTTCTTGTTTTATATATGTATACATATCAGTCTATCTGATTTGAAACATATTTTATTGTAACTTTTGAAACTCTACAGCTACTACTTGGATAGTTTGAAAAAGAAAACTACTTCAGCTTTACATTTTCACTCCTTTCAGGTGGATGTTTTACCCAATAATATTACAATCTTTGTGCAGAGTATTGTCACAGGGATTCTATGCACACAAGGATTCTGTACAATGGTTGCACATATGTGCAAGACTTCAGTTTCCATCACTAAAGAGTAACTAATCAATTTTAGAAGTTAACAAATACTTGGAGGGCCACATTTGTATACAGTTATTTGAAATCCTTATATTGTTGTTATATTTAAAGATTGGAAGTGCCTCACAACACCTTGGAAGAAGCAGATTATCTGGACACTTTTCAGTAAGGTTTCAGGTCTAGGTATGGGACTGAGATGGCATTGATCACACTCTAGGATTACCTGTGTTAGGACATATATGGTGGCTTATAGACTTCTTGGTGGCTTTCAATACTCTCATAATGGTATCTGGCTGACTGCCTGCAGGGGATAAGGATTGGAGGCATTATTTTACAGTGGTGCTTCCTCAGTAAACAGGTTGAGTTGTTTGGTGAAAGATAAGAGATCAGCCCCATGGCCCCTGACACATGGATGCTGCAGGTCTTAGTCTTCTCTCCATGCTTTTTAATTTCTATATGAAACCACTGGGAGAAATCATCCAATGGTTAGCGTTGCAATTATTACACTGATGATATCCAATTTTATATCACCACCTTGTGCTGTGGGAATGATTGTAAGGGTCTGGATGGGAAATAACAGGCTGAAGTTGAACCCAAGCAAGGCAAAATTACCCTTTGTACATTGGTGTTCTTTATGACACCACTGCTATTTTTGAATAGACAAGGACTGCCTTTGAAGGAGCAGCCCAGCAATTTGGAAAAGGGGGCTTCTGGCCTCACAGCTCTGCTCAAGTAACATGGCTAGAGGGGCCTTTGCCCACCTTTGGCTGGTACACCACTTAACTAAGAGACATAGAAAATTCTTAGAAGAGACAGAAAGAATATCAGTAAAGATAATGAAGATGGAAATAGGCAAGCTTTCTAAAGATCTCTGAACTCAGAAGGAAGTTTCAACCTCAAATTGGTATGCTAATGTATGCCATTATCAGATAGTACCTGATTCAAAGATCAAAGATATAATGTATATACAGATATTCCCTATTTAAAAGGACCTCTAGTATTAGAAGATGCAGTTAGACACTTTGATCATTATCAACTCAGAAGGCTACAGGAATATCTACAGAAATATGGCAGACAACAGAAGAAGAATCAATAAAGGTTAAAACCAAATTTTGCCAGCAGATCTGGAGAACACAGCGGCCAACAGATTGGAAGAGGTCAGTCTATATACCAATACCAAAGAAAGGAGACTTAACAATGTGTGGAAAGTATTATACAATATACTTAATTTTACATGCTGGCAAAATAATTCATAGGGTCTCCCAGCACAGATTAGAGACCTACATGGAAATGGAGATGTCAGATGTTCACACTGGTTTTCAAAAATGCCAATGAATATTATTGCTGATGGATGCTGGATAACTGAGAAAGCCAAAGAATACGAAAAATAAGTTAGTGTGCTTAATTGTTTATAGATCACCTTTGTGATGATCATGTTAAGCTGTGGAATGTCCTTAAGAAAATGGGAATCCCAAAACCTGTCATTGTGTTCATATGTAATATATATACAGGGCAAGAAGCCATAGCAGTTGAAGATGAAACCCGTGTGTGCTTATCTCAAGTTTGACCCAGAATTGAGTATTTGTGCAGCAAAAAAGCCATAGTCAAATATAGTCCAGATGTTACAAAATTATTCTAATCATTTCATGCATAGACCTGTATATATGCATTAACAGTGTTCTTAAACTAAAAATAAAGAATGAAACTTACCTCTTTAATGTGAAACCTGTGCTTGTTTTTTTGCTCCACAAATACTTTTTTCTTATTTAACAAGCATCAAAAGCAAAGACAGAAATCGTCTTATTGCAGTTGAAGATGAAATCCGTGTGTGCTTATCTCAAGTTTGACCCAGAATTGAGTATTTGTGCAGCAAAAAAGCCATAGTCAAATATAGTCCAGATGTTACAAAATTATTCTAATCATTTCATGCATAGACCTGTATATATGCATTAACAGTGTTCTTAAACTAAAAATAAAGAATGAAACTTACCTCTTTAATGTGAAACCTGTGCTTGTTTTTTTGCTCCACAAATACTCAATTCTGGGTCAAACTTGAGATAAGCACACACGGATTTCATCTTCAACTGC